AGCACATTTTGGGAACTTCAGGTAAATGTTTTACTCCTATATAAAGGGGGCTGAGGTAACCCCAAAACCCTAACTCCCATTCATTTCTAGATTCCTCTCCATTACTGCTGATGCTCTCTCAGAGCAGCTCTCTTCATCTCTTTCACATACTGACTTGGGCGTCGGAGGCTCTACGCCGGAAACCCCTCCGGCGTTGAGTTCTTGTAGGTGTTCTCGCGGTTCAATAGCGGTTTGAAAGCCATCAAGATAGATCTGAGCTCGTTCCCATCTGTCTATTCCGGATCTGGGCAGTTTTCCATCGGTTCATTCCAGATCTGAGAGGAGACCCATCAGATAAATATTGGGGCTACATAACTTTGGCGCCCGATTTTGGTATTATTACATATATTTAAAGAAAGTATGTGGAATAAATTAATTACTCGATAAAAAAATGGCGTGAAAACAATTATGGAGTCCACGTCAGCTAATTGGCTGAAAATTGGTCCCCACAGCCTAGTCGACGCTAAAATTTGCCAACTCAGCAAATTCTAATTGGATACCGGCGACGGAGATCGAAATTGGACTAAATTGACTAAATTTTAGAAGTTTTTGGACTAATTTTGGATCGGCCTGAATTACTTTACAAAAATGCCAGAACTAGGTGCTGGAAGCTGGATATCAGAGGCAAGCTTAAGCACTTTGTTTGGAAATGTTTCAGTGGTACTCTCCCAATGGCTAGCAAGCTCAAGCAGAAAAGAGTTATGACTGATGAGATTTGTAGCTGCTGTGGTGAAGATACTGAAAGTATTACTCACATTCTCTTTCATTGCAGCAAAGCTACAAAGGTGTGGAAGCTCTCAGCCTTAAACTGGGATTTTTGTAATGATAAAACCGACTCTTTCAATGATTGGTGGTGGAGTATTTCTTCTCTTAACAAGTCTGATATTTTTGAGGCCCGTATACAGCTTTCCACGTACATCATGTAGTGGCTTTGGAAAGCTCGGAATTTATGGGCCTTCAGAAAAGTATGGCTTCCTGAGAAGCTTATTGTGGACTATGCTTGGCAGGAATGGATGAAATTCAAAAACCGTAGACTCCTTTTCTTGATCATGGGCTGCTGATTGGAGTTTCTAGTTAATTAGGTCCTTTAAGTTCAGTTTTCAACTATGATCTCTAATGATTGTTTGGTTTTGGTTATGCTTTTAGATTATACAGTTTGAGTGCATCACTTTGCCTATAGTCTTGTTTCTTTGTGGTTTGATTTTAGGGCACTTATATAGTGTTCCTCCCTGTTTCTTGAACTGTATTCGGATCAGTTGATCCGACGATTTGTACCCTTGGTTTTATTTATGAGATTTCTTATTGTTTTGAGAAAAAAAAAAATGCACTGTTTTCGCATGGTTAGTGCTTGTAAGAATAATGTACAATATACTTTTTGAATTAAAAATAAATCCTTAAAAATAATATAATAAAAATATTTCAAAAATAATATAAATAAAGGCTTTGTTTGGGAGCACTTGTTCTACAAAAGTCCATCTTAAAAATGGACTTTTCATTAAGTGCATTTACAAAAGTTTTTACACAATTTTCACATATCTTTGGTGAATCTCATTTTAAATAAGTGCTTTAGTTACTTATTGGGAATAATTGTGAAATAGATTTTAGAAGTAACTAATTCTCACTTCTACAAAATGGACTTATTGAGAAGTGACTTTTCTCAAAGTGCATTCAATATAAATCACCAAACACTCTAAAATTATTCAGATGGACTTTTAAGTCTAGAAGCTCATTTCAAAAGTATTTCCAAAACACACACAAAATATGTCATTTCACTTTATTTATTCCAAAACGTACAGCATCACTTTTAATAATTAGGTCATATAAAGAGAAGCATTTGCAATAAATAAATACCATGACCACCAAAAAATATAATCTCCCAAATGTTTGGCTTCTGGATTTATTATTGGCAAGGGCTGAAAGTAAGCCCACATTTTTGGTAAAAAGACAAAGCAACCAACCGTTACAAAACAGAGATTCCTTCATTCCTTATTCCATTTCCACTCTCGATTTCGGGATTCTTCCTATTATTATTCACCCTTCCTTTCTACTTTTCTTGTCTTAGCTTGAGGTTTTTCTGAATTTTGGGTTTTAGTGGAATTAACAGCTCTTTTTATTGTTTATTGTTGGTTGGTTCTCGTTTGAAAAGGAAAGAAAATGGAGTAATAAATTGAAGATAGTGGAGTTGGGTATAGGTTTTTCTTCTCCGTAAATCAAAAGCCCTTTTAACGAAAGATAGTGGTTATCTTTCTACTGATATAGGTCTTTTATCTGGTAAGAAAGAACCCTTTTGTTTTTCTACACATGATATGTGCTTTCTGGTGTTTATTTTTTTTTTTTTTTTCCATAATTTGTTATTGTTTTCTTAATTATATTGGTGATGAAAGATGTATGAGTTTCTTGAATTTGGATTTTTCACTCAAAAGAAAATATGAATAAGTTGCCCTTTGTGTTTTTCTTTCACTCCAAAATTAGGGGGGAAAGTACAGAGTTTTTTCAGCACACAAAGGAATTGTGATTACTGATTTTTAGTGAATAGAAAGTGTAAAACATGTGATGGGCGATGAAGCCGAAATATGGAAGCTGAAAGACGCTCTGTGTGCCCAACAAAGCCTCCTTGAGAAACTCCACAATGAATTGGAGGCGGAGCGTGAGGCATCGGCCTCCGCTGCCAGCGAGGCCCTATCAGTGATACTGCGGCTACAAAGGGAAAAGGCTGCGGTTAAATTAGAAGGTGAGCAGTACAAGAGATTGTCGGACGAGAAGATATCCCATGCGCAAGAATCGCTAGCCATAACCGAGGATATACTCCATCAAAAGGAAATGGAGATAGCTGCCCTGGATTGCCAGCTCCAGGCATACAGGTACAAATTGCTAAGCATCGACTTTGGAAATATGAACGGGATTCTGGAAAGGCAGATTGATTGGGAGAGGAAAACAACAGATCATTCGATTGATTCGCAGATAAGAAAATTGGATGCCCGGGTGAAAGAGATGAATTTGTGCGATTTGTACGCACAAAATAAAGTAGCCATTGTGGATGAAAATAGTGCGAAAAATGGTGTAGGTGTTGATTTCCATTGTCCGAGAGTGCTCGATGTGTTTGAGGTCCCACACATGGAAAACGATGAGAACAGTAATAAGGCTGGAGAAGATGAAGAAGCCATTGAGGATAAAAAACTGTCTGAGGCCATTGATAAACGAGTTAATTTTGAGAAAGAGTTGTGTGGGCCGAGTTGGAATGCTTCTTCTATTGAGTGCCGTATGGCAGTTGTGGAGCCGTTTTGTCGGCTTAATGGGACATCGGAGATTGTGAAAGTCGAGAAATCAATGTTGTCTCTTGCCAACAGAGATGAAGAGCTGAAATTGTTGAAAGAGATCAAAGAGAGTCTAAATTTGTTACATGAGGAGATTAGGGTTTTGAAAGTGAAGGAAGATGAGCCATCTCTGTGTGCTCTCTCAGAGGTGCCCTCCTTTTTCTTCAACCATATAATTTTTTTTTTTTTTCAAAAAATATAAATGTATTTCTTTTAATGACTTGTGTGTGTTTTGTGGACTTTGTTTGATACAGGCAATGCTTTACTTCTGGCTTTGATTCTAGTCGCTGCTGGAGTTAATGACATCTGCTTGTACTGGATTTCATGCTCGTCTCGTGTACATTTTTCTGTAAATATAAAAAATATCTAGAGTAGCTTTGTGATTTCTTTATCCTTTTCTTTTCAAGTTTTCAGCATTGTGGTTGTTAACAGTATCTATACACCGAGTGAATATGTCCATAGTCGAAATTTCACTAGTTTATTTTTGTTTGTAAGCTCTATACTGTTACTGTGTGCACAAATCATTAATTAGACTCTGGTGAATCATTGTGTTTGTGGAGTTGCTTTTGAGGTTTAATCCAATTATTATGTTCTGCTGAATCATTCATTAAGAAAGCAGTAGTAAAGTGCACGTCTTTTATTCAAAAAGCCTGGTGAAAACAGAGTCCACGCATTTTGAAGCAACGGATAAATTCTGAAGCTTAAAAAAAAGTTTAAAATTAATTCTAATTATTTATCGATTTCACTCTATTTTCTAAACTCTGGGTGTGTTTGTCAAAGGATAAATTCAATCAAAT